CCAAGTATTTTGATTCTAAATAAATCGACAGTGACTGCAGACGCACTGTCGGTCGGCTATAATCAAGGACGCATTTAGACGAACATCTGAGATGCATATTCTCTCATCATCGGTTTCTGTGTTTTGTGCTGATTCTGTTGACCAAGTTGAGATAATAATACTCGGTCTACGTTAAGCAATCTTGGGAAAATCAGAGATGGAGAGGAGAGAGCGAGAGAGGATGTGGTGCCATACATATGCAGTCGAATTGGGTCGGAATAAGCTGATCAACAGCATCATTATCTAAAACTTGGTTTATTTTTTCACTAAAATGATTTTGGTCAGGTAACAAACCGACAAGGAGTCCTTGGAGCTGAGGCTTGATCGAGGATATCCATGATAATTTCGGTTGCATGATTATGTCCAGTATGCCAACCAACTATTTTGGGCCTTTGTTTTGCCAGCAGTTTTTTGGGGACTTGTTTGTTTCCTTATTTATATTATTGCCTTCTCACTAATAAACTTTATTGCTCGACTTTGTGTAATGTGACAGCTTATCTGGCATATTATGCGACAATCAACCCTTTCTACATTCAGTCAGTGGATTGTTCAAGAAGGTTATTCATTAGAACTCAAGATAAGTCCCACTCTGAGGAAAACAGAGTTTCGTGGTAAATACAAAAGGCTTGTATCGGCATTTCGTTAGGAACAATAGGCTGTAAGATTTGTTAAGATGGTAAGGTACGAAAGGAGCCGTCTGATGATGTGATTTCCTCACTCATTGATTTAATGAGGCAGAGGGATTATGTAGGGTCGTTATTTTTATATTCCTTACACTATCGCATGTCAACTGGTTACAGAAAAGATTTCTATTTCCAACAGCAATTTTAGCTTTAAAATGAAAACTTTTTTAAATGAATTTATCCGGACAGATTCTACTTTTCAGAGCCTTGGTTTTTTTGATTGGATCCCTTCAACTTACTAGAGATGTCTCTCACTAATGCCAGTGCTGACGATGGAATTACATATACGCATCTATTCATTGATGGGTTATATAAGATGGATTTGTCGGGTTTCTTGATTTCAGACACTGTATAGCTGCAATTAATCTCGGCTGCGGCATTTCCTCGTAAATTGCACGTCAAGACCTCTGTTGAAGATTAGCAGCATGATACTGTTTCAATTTCTCAGAAACCCGAAAACCCTGCCAACCTGCCATGCCCTTTAGCACTTTAAACCAAGTCACCACTTGAGTCAAGATAACCATTAAAACATGAAACGAAATTGGATTAAATTGGACGGCAGGTTATAAAGAGCAAAAATTATACAGCTAATTTTCTCAGTGGAAAACTCGGCTGCTAATTGGTTAGGTTAGTTGGTGTTTTAAGTTGTAAAAATGCAAATGTGATAATGAAACAAATTACAAGAAGGAGTCATCACACACAAAATAACGAGTTCAAGCAGATCAACTTAACCACGTCCACTTCCAACTATCAACCAGGCCATTTACGTACGTGTGTGCAATTGGACGAGCCATTTGACTGGTGACCATCCCATCATTCATCATTCATCAACCCATCCACGCTGATCAACATCGTTTAATATCTTTAAATTAAAAGCACCATGGTGCACCCAAAGTTCGTCAAGTCACCACCGGATCTCTTTAACATTTAGATTACGTCTAGAATTTCGCTCGCCATTTTAGTTTTTTGTCCTCAATAAACTCTCGCTAACAACTCGCTAGTCGCTGTACGCACTTACTATGCATGTATCATTTTCAAGTAAAAAGATGTAATTTGTTTTAATTTGAAGTGATTTGGTTTTGTATAATTTGGTTGTATTCCGTCCACGTGGTTCAAGTTGACTTGAACCATCGTCCGACAACAGAGTCGAGATGAATACAGATTTGAAAAGCTTGTCTCATTTTCTGGAGAGGAGAAGATCAAACGAGTGACAGGAAGAAGTACCCAGTCACCCAAGATGTGAACACCCCAACCAGAGTCCTCCTCTTCTTTGTAATTTCACCTCAATTTCCGCCAGGTCGGTGATTTAGGAAGCTCATTCACAACTGCACATTTTCTAGAACAATTATATATACCGAAACTTCACTCATGATATTACCATGCAGCGTATCCATTTCTACGAGAGATGCAACTTTGAACTTGAGATTCAACACACTAATAATGGTTACTAATTCATGTTGTTGTTTTCTTCCCCAAGTCTCCTCTCCGTGATGGCAGATAATCTGTATCAACGTCAGGTCCACTCAACCAGATCGTCCTGGTTTATAAGCTCAATTAACCATCTTGTCTTTTCTGCCGCGACGTTGGGCATCATCACGAGTTGATGTCATAGGACCACTACTAACCAAATTGACTCGGTGTTATCATGTGTCAGAGTTTTCTATCCATGCAACTATAAAGAATGTAATTAAAATTCCCAGTGTCATTTTTGCTCTTGTAAGTCGTTAGCTACTTTAATGACCGAGTAAATTATAACAATTTGGTGGAAATTACATGTAATATGCGACAACCACAAGGCTGATATGCACATCAATAACAAACCTTTTTGTACGTTCATGTATATTTATTTACCTACATGCATATTAGCAAAATGTACTACAACTGCTGGGCATGCGATGTAAAAGAGAGAAATCACGTCCCCTCTATTTTTATTGAAATGACGATGTTTAGAAATTTTAAGGAGAAATGCAGATTTACGGAATATGCATAAAACCAACAGCTACAAAGTTGAACAGTGGCAACATGATTTGCTTAATTCGGAACAGGATATCAAGCTTATAAAAAGTTTATTACTTGGAAAAGCTTTCATGTCTCGTTTAAATCAAAACAGAGCTGAAGGCAAGTAATTTACAAAATTATGAGTAGAAGAACTGAAAAGGTGAGTGGTGTGTGGATGCCGATAATTTAGCGCATCCAGTCTTTTTTACATGTAAAAGCAACAACTGCAACCGTCCTGCATCATCCCTGCAAGAATTATATAAATTGAGCAAAACTATACGTTCTGATGATGAGACAGACTTTGAAAAGATTTGATAGGAAGGAAATCTCGTCTTGCGCTCTACATTTAGGAAATAATGCGGTTGTTACTTTGTGATGGCATTGGTACATATAATTTTTGTCGAGTGAGATCAAGATGATCTACAAAATCATGTGAATTGATTTGATTGCTGTTATCTCGCAGGGTCAATTATTGCCTCAAGTCCGAGTGAGTATAAAGTTGGAACGTATTCGGCAACTTTTCAAAGATGTTGAGTAAATAACGGGCAAGACAACGTAATTTTTATTCTCAAAGATAACATCGCACTGAACTAATTGGCCTCTCCATTTTATTTATTACTTTCGGTACCGTCAACCACATTTAGTTTGGTGGAAAGCAATCCTATCTGATTACAAGTATGCCTATGAAGACTTGTGAAAAATTATCGTGTACTATAAGAGGCGAGACCCGATTTTGCAATACCAGAATTTAACGAGCTACGACAGTACATCTAACTAATTACTTGTACATATGTGGGATTAAGTGCTGGGAATAACTTGCTAATGTGTTCCCGTTGAGGCAGTTGAAATGGTTTGTGCACTTGGCTGAAGTGATTAGCTCCCACTCGCAATTTCAACAATTACTGAACTGCATTCAATTTTTGCAAACAATTCCGGATGTGGACCGGACTGAGATGCGTTGTGCCAAGAAATGGAATATTAACCATCAATTTTACCTTTCAAACATCTGAAACAACTGATTCATAACGAAGGCAAATAAATATGCCTTAAGCATTAAAAATGCATGGATTAATTTCGAACCCTATGCGAAAACTCGGATAGCGTAACGATCAACTTAAAATACAGAAGTATGATGCGAGAAATTGAGCATTCATGATTTGCAATGTAGTATTTATACACAATTCAAGCATCAAATTGTTAGTCAAAAGGGTAAGCATTTAAGCGCATACATAGCGAAGATGATTACTCATAGACGAATATATTTAGTTATTGTCGGAAATATATTTTTAACCGAAATTCTCATAACTCTGTGCGAATTAAATGCTGATGTATGAATATAATGCTTATTCTAATAATTGCCCAATTAAACGGGTACCATAAAACAATTAACATAAATTCAACCCTGACTAAAAATGCCATAAAAAGCTCGCACTTGCTTATTATTTTTGAACCTGAGACTGCAAGCCCTTTGTGGAAGGTGGCCTTTGTGCATAACCGCACATCGGGTAGAAAGGAGAAAACTAGTCGAAGGGATCTATTTGCATTCATGCCATGAGTTTTTATGGTCGATTGTCATTTACTTTCTATGAACATGATGTTTTGTTTTATTATTGCTAAACATGAGCTTCGGACATGGGGCAAGCAGCGTGAAAAGTGAACTGGATGGACGCACATTCCGCACCATGCAAAAGCAGCATCAATAATCTCATCAAACGACTCGAACTACAATACATATGCAATCCTTGGCTCTGCCACAGCATCACCACATTCAGGATGCAATCCACATTTCATCATTTAATTTAAAGCAGGTAAGAAGAGCTATGATGTGCTACTGTTTACTCCTCGTTGGATGGATGCATGGGGAACCGTAGCTTTTTATTACTCATGCCTTCCACCAATCGAATATGTCGTGAATACCAAATTAAACAGAGTTGCACTCAAATGCTAAACTCACTTTATTTGCTTGCCAGATTCAGTTTAGCTTGTTTTAGGGTGGCGAGTGAACTATGTTGGACATCTGTCTGCCATACAATTCTTTCTCTGAATGGTTTGCAAATTATGGTGATAATAAGGTTCGGGTAACTGTTTGCATTCTAATGCTATATGGTTGTTGTGAGGTGAGAGAAGATGTCAATGGTGCCATAAATGTGGTTGGCTGTATTCACGAAGGCACAATTAATTAATCGCAAAATAGGTGATGTACATATATATATATCTGCTGAATCTGCTCTCTCTTCGTTGTATGGAGGAATTTGGACCGTAGATTTTACAGAAATGTCAAATTCTAAAAATTTATTCTTGAATACTTAAATTAATTACGGAAAAGTTACTATCCGATTACAGGGCAACTTGCAGATGTAATAGCAATTTGAAATTAAAGCCTTACGAAACTCCTAAGAGATAGAATATATATGTGCACATGTAGGCAATATGGTCCACCTTTGAAATCCGTAATCTGAAAGTCAAATAATGCTCCATTCTCATCTCATAACTCGTAGTTTACTCGTGATTTACCATCGTAATCTGGGTGTGGAGTGGAAGGAGCATTGCACAATATATCAGAATTCTTGAAGAATTTCGCATTTTTTGTCCACCGCTAATACACTGTCAGTCATAAAACAATACATAAAACAATGAAGGATACACATTAAGATATGTGATTACTTGTTGCCAGTGGCCTGTCGGAGCGAGCAATTTGCTTTTTGTTATTTAATGGTCCTGGCGTGGCTTGCATGATGGTCTAAGTTGCTTATTAAGCCACACGTTAGGTCCAAACCATATAATCCAGCAGTGCTATCTGGTTGTGTGTGGTTGGTGTCCTGGTGTGGTTGGTAGTGTGCAAAGGACAATAGACTTTTTCATCGTGTTTATGCTGGTTGGCTGTGTGCGAGCACCATGTGCCAAAATCTGACTTACTACACAGAATCTCGAAACAAAAGGATGCGAATATTTGTTTGACAGGTGGGACGGGCTTGAGCAATGTACAACGCTCAATGGGTTGCTACTTTTATTTCCAATCTGCCAACAGAATTCCGTCGTATAATGTACATTGTAAAACAGCCTCCTTCTCCTCTTCGTCTCGCTTTTCTCTGCATCTCAGATTCGATTCTGCAAACCAGGCATCAGGGTATTCCGACCCAGGGTTTTATTGGGTTGGGTTTTTTGGGTTTTAATGGGTTTTAATGGGTTGTTAACGAATAAAACCCATTGGGTTTTACCATGTTAAATGGGTTTTATTTGGGTTTTAATGGGTTTTATTCGGGTTTTAATGGGTTTTAACTGTGTTTCAGCTTAAAACTATATTCTAAAATCTGAAAACAGCTGTCGTACATTAGACGAAGTTGTTTCATGCTAAGCAGTTTATTCGATTAATATTGTAAGTTTTAAAAACCAGGAATAAATCAGCGAGTGCCATTACAAGTTTCAAGTGACAAAAATATTTAAAAATAATAATTTTGGAACGAGGTATGTTTAACTGAGCATAGTATGCTCAGCATACATAATTTAATTACATTTAATTTACATTTTGCTGTCATAATTAATACTTTTTTCCCGAATACTTCCTCTCATCTCAGCGAATAAATTAAACAAAATACTGTAGTATTTTTTTAATTTATAAAGTTTTTTAAAATGTTTCAAGGTGATCTTAATTATCACCTCTGGAAAATTCGAGTACTTATGGACAGCGAAGTACTTTATTATGAGCAAAAGAAGTGTGTCTGTAAAAAGCACTTATTATATTCTCGATCATAATACATACGTACTTTCATTGTTGTTAAGTACTCGATTTTTTCCAGAATTGATAATACACGTTAAGATCGCATTGAAATATTAAATTTTAAAAACTTTTAAACAACTTGGATTTCATTATGATGAGAGGAAGTATTCGAGAAAGAGGTAATATATATTCTCATAAAGTATTAAACTATGATCAGTTAAACAGGACTATTTCGAAACGGATACAAATTCTAACATGGACAAGTAGGATTTGCATATTAATTGAAATTGGATTGCAATAGTAGTGAAAATTGTTGTTCAATGTATTACTTATGTAAAACCTAATAAAACCCAATAAAACCCATAAAACCCATTAAAACCCAAAAAACCCATTAAAACCCCTGGGTCGTTACTTTTTGATTAAAACCCTGGGTTTTTCCGAACCCTGCCAGGCATTTGTGGACTCGAAGTACATATGCATGGTCTCACTTATCCCTGCTCGTGTTGAACAAGGATGACTGATTGTCACAGATTTTCTGAGCACCACCAAAGATAAGACTTTGCTGAGCTGAAAAAATTCAATTTCAAAAACGGATTCACCATGTATGTAGTACAACCTGTAGAACGACTACCCACTTTATTACATATTTCAATTAATGGTGCATAATTAATTGTCATAAAAATTGCTGCTTGGATCATAAAACCATGTTTACTTTACCAAAGGTATAATTAAATCTAGAAGCTGTTGATTATTGCGATGGGAAAACCGACCGCGATCTGAATAAATAAACCGAGTATGTAAAGGATGAAATGAAATCACCCATAAGAACTAATGTAAGGATGTAATAATTGAGGACGTGCAAACCATTTAGGATTGTATAAAGTGTGCATAAAAGAATAAGGCAAATAATAAACAAGTCGTAGTCAGCCCATTTGTTCTCCGTTTTTCTCTTTTCTTCTCCGCTACTTTCTGACATTTACTCACTACTAAATTAAGAAATGCAATTTGTTCTGACCAGTACAAGTTGAAATGGTTTATATAAAAACTAATTTACCCTTTTGCAATAATCCCAAGCCTGATAATGCTAAATAACAAAGAGATAAATAACGTCAAACTCGTTCCCAGCCAGGTGAATCTACTACTTCACATTTCAACAGGAGGAGCATTACTATAACTTACGACGAATGTAATAACTCAACAGTTGCATTCAATTTTGCAATGTGCCAAACATTTGCAAAACTTAATTTGAACAAAGATTACTCATTTCTTATCTGATTATTATGTCATTCGAAGTGGAGGAGCCTAGACAATTCCCGACATGGAACAACATAATAACAAGCCGCTTAATTTTTGCAAATCACCCAATGAGTTCCCACCTTTGCTGCAGGGAGGAGGTTCAGAAGCCAAATAAATAAACGTAATGAATGTTTCTCCTTATCTCACTGGCTGCGAGGATAATCTGATATCAAGGAAGGGTGGGTTCCCGATTCGAATTGAAAGATGAGGTTCCGGCACACCGCAAAGTCTGGTAGATCCAACCTCCGATATGAAGAGCATGATAAACGACCGGGAACTTGAGACTTGAGACTATCGAGTTGTTAATATTTTCCAACGTTACTAAATATTATTTAGAGTCAGCTAGGCAGGCAGACAGCCATTTCTGGACATCCCCACCAGTTTTGAATATATTTACATACACATGAAGGATCAATATCATGACCTATCTACATATGTATATCTGTAAATATGAATATTTAATTGTTTTATTTAACTTTAGATAAAAATGTAATTCTTTTCAAGCATATAATTATCACTGTAAAGGAATTGCATGTAAAATGATACAAACTACAACTAACTTGACCACGAAAAATTGTAAATCTCAAATTAAACAAATATTTAAGGATATTTTGTTTAGTATTCTATTTTCTTCTTGTTTCAAGAACGCTATCTTCCTAGGTGCTTAACAAACAAGATTTTTATGACGATGCGAGGGGAACCCGTATGTGCACAAAAAGAGTGTCTGTTGTTTGTTGTGTCGGTTTATCTGACACAGAAAACAAACTTCAAGGCATAAGTCACCTCGGTCTTCGAAATCTACGTATCCAATCAGCTCAACATCATTTCTGGCATGTTTTTAGAGTCAAAGGTCTTTCTTGATGCATTATTGATTCCGCTGTCACAATGGTTTTGTACCGTTCAGACGCAAGATCTTGAGAAACTGATGTTGAGACATTGACAGTCGATCCTCAATTCATTTTTATAATTGAATTTCTCTCACGTACTGCTTTCCTTATTCATGGTCCAGGATTTGAAAAGCTTTCAGTCTTGACGCTTACATACTTTGTACATAGTTGATTGTGACAGTCAAACCAGCCTTAATAACTGGTCTACCTACACATACGCACTCGTATGATCCAACGAGGGAGGTATCGATTATGCACATGCTTGCAGCAAAATAAACCAACTCTCAAAGTTTATATGCTTTCTTGACACAAATGTGCACATAACTTGAGCTGCAGACATGTTATCATGACTGAATGCCAGCCAGCCAGTCATTCATTTACTCCTTGTTTTCTCCTGGAAAGACTCATTCTTAAAAGAAATTCCTTTGCTAAGTAGTTACCACAAAATGCACAAAGTTGAAAAAATATGTACTTGTCATTCGGCATAATGACATTAATAATACGTAAAAGTTATGACTTACAATTTGCACATTCAGATGAACCAGTGACTTGTGGATGTTTTTTTACAAAATAATTGTTGTTGTTGCTGTCTTATAGCTCTATTACTTAAAAAAATAAGCCTTGTTTGCCAGAGTTTATGAATTGGTTGAAAGTTGGTAGAAATTCATTTCACGATTTCTCATCTGCGTCACCAGACGAACTAAATCATAATGTAAATTGTACCTGATTCCCTTATAAGTAGCTGCAGCAGCAACTTAAAACGGCGAAAAGATGTGTGATGAAATTTTGAATGTGAAATGTTATTACTTTTCCTCATTCAGCTGCTGAGTTTATTCTCCCCTGATTTACACGGCTAGGAAGGTGGTTGTGTCCATAATTTTGAAATGCGTAATGTCCATGGCCATGTAAAAGTAATGACTTGACTAGAACATAAAGTGGTCTCTTATTGCTCAGTAAAGCTAAAGTAATTTAATAGTCCTTCCTGCATTCTTATAATTTTCATAGCAGGTGTCTATTCTTGAGTCTTTATTGTATTTGGCCAGATATGCGGAAAACCAGGAGTATGTCATTGTTTGTTATGCCTATTTTCAAACATCCACAACCATTGGAACATTTTTGACAAGAGGAACCACAACAAATGGAAAGCAAATAATAAGAACCATCAAAATTCATATCCAGCAACCACAACGCTTTTCGACTGCTAATTGCTGTAAATTAAAAATTTGAGATAAACCACCCAAAGGCAAACAGACACAGCCGTCAGATATTTAGTAAATTGTAGAAAATACAAGGTTTATGTTGCCTGAAATATGTATAACGACATCATTATTGTCTCGACGGTTTTTGTACAGCTTGATGACAATTTTTTATGCACAACAGAAATCCCCACTGATAACAGCTTATGTGCAGATATCAAACAGCTCACAAACTAAAAATACATTGCATTATATGGAGTAAAAAATGTACAAATAAAATATCCGAACAAAATAAAGAGCATCCACTAAGGTTTTTGACTGACGCAATAAAATGCTCAGAACTTTTTACACAGTTACTGTAATTTCAAAAAAATTGCATATGTTTACTACCAAAGGGTTTGGATTGCCATACAGTTCAAATTTTAATGATTCAATTCCGCTGTCTGTTACAGATTGCATTTTCTTCTTCCGATTTCGCGTCAAATTCCTCCCATAGACTGCACCTTCTTTCAAGCTGATTTTCTTCCATCTGTTCTTAAATTTTCGTAAGGTGTCTGGCGTTTCTGAAAGCTTAGAATATTTGGACTTAGTCAGCGCGCAGAATTTCTCAATTGGTCGCAGTTGAGGAAAATTTGGTGGGTTTCCATTTTTTGGCACAAATTCAATTTTTTTCAGATGTCGGTACTGAGTGACCTTTTTGGCGTCATGGGACCTTGCGAGGTCAGGCCAAAGCAAACCATTATTTTTTTATGATCTTTGGTAATAAACGATTCCGATCCCCCTTTAATACATGATTAAAGATAAACCCCCTGGTTTATAGTACCCTCCAAAATGACGGGATCGGAAACATGACCAATGCAAGACATGCGTTGCCAAATTCTTCATTGTTTTGTGAATTGGTCTTTCTTTTGGACTTTGTCTTCATAATTTACTTCACAGGGGTTGGAACTATGGAAAAAATGCCTTCCTGGAAGATTTGAAGGGTCAGCTGTGACGTAGGGCTCATCGTCCATGATGACTACGTTTCCCCGAATTTTCTTCAACTATTTCTTGCATCACATGTGAATCATTTCATTTTGTGTTGGTTTGTAATTTGGTGCTGGTTTTTTTCCCCTGGCTACAATCCCTAGTTTATGGACTTTGATTTTGCTTAGATAGCTTTTTGAAATGTTCATGAATGAAACCTTCCTTTCCGCTGTAGCCATTGTCGTTGATGGATAATTTTTGAAGATTTTTTTATGTGATTCTTGACTTTTGTCGTCGCTAGCTTTGCAGGTCGACCAGTGGGGACTTTGAATTTGAGTTCATTGGATTCCTCGTACTTTTTTATGTAAGAGTTGACATTTGAATGAGGAATACCGTCTTGCTTGAAAAAGTGTCAAGTGATTTTAGAATCATAGTTTGTACGATTTTTGTGAAACTCAATCACTCTTTTTTCAACTCTTGCCTTTCAACCCAAGTTTTTCTAGTCTTAGCCATGACTCAATAATTGGTGACATATATCAATGGAAACCTTATAACTTGGTCTATTCAAAAATAATTTTTTCGAAATTTAATTTCGCTGTGTTCCCGCCTTGCGCGCCTATGACGGGGCAGTCAAAAACCTTAGTGGATGCTCTTTAAGCGTCAAAAATATGATGCGTGAATATTATAGAAGCATTTCCCAAGAATGAAACAGTCGATCGTATGTACAAAAATAATTGTATGATCGCAGATGATTTCATCAACGCCAATTCCTTCTATAAATTGCTATGTTCTGATGACAGAGGTGCAATCAAAGTTTCCTTTTGGTGGAGATAATAAGTATCCTTTGGTTGAAGGGTGAATTCGGTGAGGTTTCGCCCATCAGCATCTTTTACATGCATATCTGCTGGTTGGTGGCAGTGAGCAATTTAGATTTCATTCAAAACCTGTATATTGATACAGTCGTGTTGTTGCTAGTTTGGCTGTATTCTCTGGATTTAAATTTTTCTTGAAACAGGCACAAAACGTATTTATTGATAGGTTTGTAGCCGATAATAATAAACGTAAAAATAAACCAGCCAGGTTGAAGTGATTTGGAGGAAGGCAATTTAGTGAGTGACGTTGATCCACATTTTGGCTTATGCACAGCACAACTAGTAATCCTCCAAGTATTTAATGTTCTATATTACCATTAAAACAGTACATGCGTATATGTATAATACGACTGATGGGACGATTGTGAGATGAAAGTGCAATACAATTAGATGGACAAAAGCGAGAGTTTTCAGTCAATTATAGCTTTTTATTCTTGCCTGGAGATCCATCATTACACAAACTTTCTGACCTGTCCAGAGGGTTAAATTTACATACAGTAACTGTGCGCGAGAGGAGATGACCATGTGAACTAAGCATTTAATCTCATCGGACTAAACCATAATTACCAAACTGATCGTGTTTAATAACACCTTTTTTGAACCGATTCGAAAGCAATAAAGTGCCAATGGACATTTTGCTCACCATGTAAAATTCCTAGATTTGAGATTAGTCAGTTGTTTTCCTCATCATCATGGTCTGCAGATGCATAAGCAGATCATGCAATTATGGGATTTACTGCCAACGGTAACATTTGTTTATATTTATGTACGTGACTTTTCAAGTTGTAGTGTTCGCACGTATAATTTCATATGTACGCATGTATAATTTTTAAAGAATGTCTAAAATATAAAGCAGTTTCGTCCCAATTTTTAAAGAACATTCTAAAAACCAACTTTTCTACATGAATATGTACGCAAAAATGAGAAAATAATTCGATACATCAACTGATAAAATACTTGGCTCGGATGAAGAACTCAGCGGAAGGTCCTGACATACATGGTTTATTTCCTGAACTGATGAAGTGAGAATCAACCATTAACGTCAGATGAAAAGTCGCCAAGCTGCCTAATTGTATATCACATCCGTTACAACAAAACCACCAACTTTTTTAACAACTTTTGAACAGTATGCATAATGTGGACAGGTCCCTTATGTCCATCATCTGCCTGCTCTTGCCAGTTGGACAAGCCAACTTCTTTCCTCCACTCCAATTTGACATGCACAGCGTTAAAATATTCGGAAACCCACCAGCACCGGTTGGGTGTCGGACAGAAGACAAATCTTTCCTGGGAAACAAAATCCTCTTCTACACGCTTAAAAGCTGTGTGTGTGCACAACGGCGTACGGCCAATTCGAAAAAATACTTGTGCTTATTCTGCATAAATATTATTCATTTGTCCACATCTACTGGGGGGTTGTTGTAAGGGAGGAAAGAGTGTGAACAAAATTGGAAAGTAAAGTTTATATGAATTTATATGTAGATACATATGAATTTTTTCGAGCATATAAATGCATAAAATATGAACAATTAGGAGTAGAACGTATTTGTTGTTTACAAGTATATACGTATTTATTTACTTGTTGTTGTTACTTAAGACTCCACAAAAAATCATTATTACACGTTCGCATTGGACCCTTCACAATTTTACATAAATGAAAGTAACAAACTAAAAGTTGACTTAGTTTGTCTCTCAGAATGATAAAACGTGTCGAATTTTAAATTGTTCGATGCACGATATAAACCTGGTAAATTGATGCCGACAACTTGGGTGTTGGGTAACAATCGTACATTGGTGAATACACGGCTTGTCAAAACTTGGTCTAAATCTCTCCATCAAACCTGAACCGGAAGAGCTAATTAAAGAGGCAGTTTTCAGGAGGACGTTTATCGTACAATCGTATAACCAAGTTGACCAAATGACCAGCCGAGTCAAGGAAAGTCCACTCGCTGTGCCCACAATATCTGTAATAACTTACGCATAATACGTATGTATGTACCTATTCCAGTGGTCGAGTTTCCAAAAGATAAGAATTTTATTGAAGTCCGGCCAACAAAGTGGTTAGGTCCCGGTGGTACACTTCATTTGATCGTCCTGAGTAGAAACACAACTCGAAAGTGAATGGACAAGGATGATGATGATGATGCAGATATAGGTTTTAATAAAGTGGAGACTTTGTTAAAAAATAATAAATATCCGTCAAGCAGGGAACGGACGGACGGACGAACGCAAGATTTGTTGGGTTGCCACCTGTGATATTAGAAATAATAATGAGAGTGAAAATGGACAATGGGAAGTTGAACCACTTCTTAATGCGAGTCAAAAGTACCAACACAATAATCACATTTTGACCCCACTCGTATTATTCCTTGGCCAGGCTACCACTGCATTTGAAGTCATCATGATCGAGATATTTACCGGCCAGTTTTCCATTCATGCAATAAAAATTTAAAATTTCCTTCAGCACGCCTCAGCCTCACCTTATAATTTGGCTAATGGAAGGATACAGTATCTCGTTTCGTATCAGCAGTCAATCGTACGGATTATAGTTTCAGCCTCCTTCAAATTATTTTCCATGCATTTTTAACAATATGCGAT